GTAAAAAAGAAAAAGAGAATCAAATTGAGTATTTCTAGAGTAAGTCTTGTTTTGCAAACTGATATGTAAAAAATATTTCTCATAGCTTGTATTGAAACAGCTTTGATCAAAATATAAACCTAATCTACATGAAAAATTCTGTACCGATGTGATATTTGATCTTCGTCGAAGATTTCCTCTCAATAAATTAATTTAAAGCCAAAAAAGAATTGTGAATATATAGTTAGAAAGAGCATGAAGTCTTTGTTCTAGTTGATTACTTTTGATTTTCTCCAGTGACTTATAAATGAACGAAAATTAACCAGAAATGTTTTGCAAAGACTTTTTTTACATACACAGATTATGTGTCATATTCTAGCACAGTGCATTGAATGATAATATAGTCGCTAAAGTTAAATGTCGTCGATGTTTGTTATTCGACAAGTAGTCTCAGATAATTAGTTTGACATCATTTTTCTGTTCTAACTTCTTGTTGTGATATTATTATGCGGCATATATCGATATGTACATGAAAATTTAAGTAATTTAGCAGAAAAAGTTTTGATAAGGTTATCTTTCTATTTATGACTACTATCTAGTGACTCATACCCGCTGCTGTTTCCTTTTGTCTCTTCCAACTTCTGAGTTTACTATACAAGCTGAGCACCTTTTCTATCGATACTATATTTTAAATTAATGAACTAAAGTATAGATATTAAGCAACTTAACAATAGAAGCGAAAGACGTAAACAGGATGCACTCAAAATATGAAAAAGAATACTTTTGATCACCAATTCTTTTCAAGTAGTGAAGTTTCATTATCTCTTGGGTGCTTCTACATGATTCACACTCGGCACTTTATTTTCAGGGATCAAACAGGGTAATGTATGATCAAAGCAATTAAAGAATGGTGGAGCGCGTTTATCTATAAAAAAAATTCATATCCATTTAAAAATATGGTTCTTCTCCAGGTCGACGACATCCTATACACTATGTGGTCTAACTGGCAGAGAGCATCAAAGAGTGTGGATGCCACGATGTCGCTAATCTGGAGAAGTATCACTTTGGCTCTTTTCCAAACCAACAATACCATTAACTAACTGGTCTGATTGACTGTGGAAAACAGTACAGAGTGAGGTTGCCACCGACCTGGAGTAGCACCTAAACTTTATTGACAGATAATAATGTGAAATGAACGTTGAGAAAAGTTGGTATTCAAAAATATTGTCACCCCAAAATATATCCATATAGAAGATACATAAAAAATGATAAATGAAAAAAAAAAGAAAGCCTATGTATCAAACATATTAAAGTAAAGAAAAGGGATTTCTGTCAATAAAGTATCATTATCGAAGTGAATTTAATGATCAGATTAGAATCATAAGCTCATCCGTTTTAACTGCGGTCAACTTGCCCAATACATCGATCCCTAATAAACAATATTTTAGATTGTAAATTGTTGGAATTTCACGATCATTTTTCTGATAACTTTTGTAGCAGACAAAAGAATCAGAAAACCAACAAACTTTGCTGATTTTGATTGTTTCCTGAAGGTGAAAATAATCGATCAGATTGAAATATAAACTTCAATATAGATTCTTCTTAAGAATCTGTAAACGATGAAATGTTTTCATCTTTTAAAAATAATTAGAATAAAAACAAAACTTATTTCATGATTTTGAGTTGGGTCTTCAATCGTGTTTGAACATGTTAGAACCCATTATTTTCTTGAGCACAATTATTTTTTGTTTTCGTTTACTTAATCTATTTTTCTATTAGGAAAACATAGTGAACAATTACCAAAAGCAGAAGAAGTAAATCAAGAAGTATTACCGTTACTTTTTGAAGCTATATCTGTTAATACAAATTATACATCAAAAATAGAGGTTAGAATTAGTTTGTTTTTTTTTTCTAAATAATTTTTTATTAAATGATATATATATATAGGAGTCAAAGCAAGATGATGGTGGTTTACCAAAACAAATTGGTAATAAAACTGAATGTGCTTTATTGGGTTTAGTACAAAATTGGGGTGGATCATATTATAGAATTCGTCGAGATATTCCCGAAAAAAAATTAGTTAAAGTATATGTATTTAATTCTGTACGTAAAATGATGAGTACAATTATTCAACGTAATGATGGTTATCGAGTTTATACCAAAGGTGCATCAGAAATGGTTTTAACGAAGTAAGAAAAAAAACACATTTAAATTATTTAAAAAGAAAAAAAAATTCCTATTCATTTTTTTTTGTCTTGTTTTGTTTCTTAAAGATGTAAATCAATTATTGGTGAAAATAATCAAGTAAAAGAATTAAATGACAATGAAAAAAGTCGTTTAATACATGATGTTATTGAAAATATGGCTCATAATGGTTTAAGAACAATTTGTATTGCTTATAAAGATCTTGGAAAAGAAAAACAAGATTGGAATAATGAAGATAAAATTATTAATGATTTAATTTGTATTGCAATTCTTGGAATTGAAGATCCTGTTCGAAACGAAGTAAGATAATTTATTTAAAAAAGAAATAAAAGATTAATTCTTGTTTGGTTTTCTTTTCTATTCAGGTACCGGAAGCTATTGAAAAATGTCAACGAGCAGGTGTTGTTGTTCGCATGATAACAGGTGATAATATAATGACAGCTCGTTCCATAGCAACAAAATGTGGTATAATCAAACCCGATGAAGACTTTCTTATACTTGAAGGAAATGAATTTAATAAACGTATTCGAGATGCAACTGGAAAAGTTAATACAGCGAAATGAATATGTTTTGCTTTTTTATAATTTAAATATTTAGATTTCACAAAAAAAACTCGATGAAATTTGGCCAAAATTACGTGTTTTAGCACGTTCATCACCTCAAGATAAATATAATTTAGTTAATGGTATTGTTGAAAGTCGTATAACACCATATCGTGAAGTTGTTGCTGTTACTGGTGATGGTACAAATGATGGACCAGCACTTAAACGTGCTGATGTTGGATTTGCTATGGTAAATTATATTTAAAAAAAAATACTTTACATTTGGTTTTTTTTGATCGATTTCTTTTATAAAGGGTATTCAAGGAACAGATGTTGCAAAACAAGCATCCGATATAATCTTAACAGATGATAATTTTGCATCGATTGTTAAAGCTATAATGTGGGGAAGAAATGTTTATGATTGTATTGCAAAATTTCTTCAATTCCAATTAACAGCTAATTTATCAACTGGTTTGATTTCAGTTGTATCAGCTGCAGCTATTAGCGTATGATATATACATATATATTCTTATTTTTCGAAAAAAAATTTATTTTCGATGTTTTGTTTTATTATTCTCTAGAGTGTTCCATTACGAGCTGTACAAATGCTTTGGGTTAATCTTGTCATGGATTCATTAGCTTCACTTGCTCTTGCAACCGAACCACCAACAGAAGAATTATTAAATCGAAAACCATATGGACGAACAAAATCAATAATATCACCATTAATGTTACGAAATATTCTTGGACAATCATTTTATCAACTTGTTATTATGTTTGTTATACTTTATGTTGGACAATATTTCTTAGATGTTGAATCAACAGTTCAAAAAATTCAAAATAATCCACATGCAGCTAGAGAATTAAGTCAACAATTTACATTAGTATTTAATGCATTTGTATTAATGACATTATTTAATGAAATTAATTCAAGAAAATTATATGGAGAAAGAAATGTATTTAAAGGAATATTTCGAAATCCATTTTTTTATTGTATTTGGATTTTTTGTTTTGTTGCACAAGTAATTATAAATAGAAAGAATTAAAATAATATGTTATTTGTTTGATTTTAGATTTTAATTGTTACGTTTGGTGGTCAAGTATTTAGTTGTGCACGATTGAGTATTATACAATGGGTATGGAGTTTACTTTTTGGTGTTGGATCACTTATATGGCAACAGGTTTGTTCTTTGAATTATTTATGAAATTCTAAGAAAAATTTGATTGTTATAATCTAGATTATATTATGTATCCCAACGAAACCATTTGCTCTATGTTTTTCGGCAATGTTTCGTGTTTGTTGTCCATGCTTTTATAAAAAACAACGAAGAAAATGTGCTGAGAACGAAACTCGTCGAAAATCAGCTGCAGCGGATCAACTACGACGAGTATCAAGATGGAGTGATGGTGGTTATATGCCATATAGTATAATTGGTCAATCAACAAGTGCAACTGTTGTTCCTGAACCACAACCTACCATTGCTAAATTTATGCTACGAAAAGGTGCCAATCAACTTAATACAGAGGTTTGAATTTTTTGTTTTTTCTTTGAATTTTTATAATTCTATATATGATATATATTTTAGTCTCGTGTGATTAATGAATTTCGTACACGACTTGAAAAAGTTGTTGAATGTAAACGCAATAGTCGAGCCAATATTCTTGATGAATAATTGTGAAAGCGTGTGATGCAACATGTTCACTTCTTTCTTTTTTTCTTCTTTTTTTTATTAGTTTGTTTTTTTCTTTTTTCTTTTTCTTTTTCCTTTTATTTCTTTTCATTTATCCGTGCTGTTTGTATTGGGGTGTGTGTGGGTGTAGCGGTGTGGGGTGGGTGGGTGTGGGGTGTGAGTGGGTAGGGTGTGAGTGTGGGTGTGGGTGTGGGTAAGTTGCCGATGATTAGACACCAACATCCGCACCCCATACACCCACACCCCACACCGTCACCGACCCACACACACACCCACACCCTATATATATTCAAGTACTTTTACTTTAAAATCAAGCTATTCAAGATTAAATTCACTTGATCGGTACATACAAGTGAAATCAAAACATCTTGTGATCGATTTACATTTTCGAGATCAACCGTTCATATTTAAGATAAAAATTTTGCGCATCTTTATATAGTAAAATCATTAAATAGGAGCAAATTATTATTAATATATTTTCCCTTGAAAATGATCTTTTTATAAGTCGAAACGTCATAAAAGGAATAAAAGAATAAAATAAAGAAAACTCAATTCAAATCCCTATCTTTCACTTTTACTTCTATTAATGTTTATAAAGAATCTCTTTATTAATTTGATCAATCGATGTTAATCCACAACAAGCCATATCATAAACTAATTCACGTTTTAATATATCTAATACTCTTCGAACACCATCTTGTCCACCACTAGCCAATCCATATAAAATCGGCCGACCGATAAAAACAGCTCGTGCGCCCAATGCTAATGCTTTTAACACATCAGTTCCACTTCGAATGCCAGTATCAACAAATACTAAATAAGAAAGAATAGCTACTCCAGGATTACCAAATTCAAATTTTATAAATCAGGAGTATTTTGTTAAAAATCCAGAGTTTTTCAGGAGACGTTGGTTTCAAATCAGGAGAAAAATTACGAGATTTTTATTTGAAGTTAAAGAATCGTTTGGTGATTTTCGTAAGGAAAATTCGAAGTTTCACTCCTATATGCACTTTTCTCTTTTACATATTAAGTTGATGATGGAAAATTATTCTTAAATTTGAATTATACCGAGTGTGCCAAAATGTTTGCAACATTTTTTATCTCGCATATATCTCGGCTTAGATGAATGATAAAATCTTGATCTTTTTTCTAAGAGATACACCGTGAAGTGCTCTGAAAAAGTTATATCAACAAATTTCTATTGACTTCCTCTGATGATTTTCCTAGATGATTAAAAGTGAAGATTTGCGTGAAGTTGCTCTCGAGTGTTGCAAAATGTTTGGAGAATTTTTTGTTCTACATATATTTCGACTTGAAAAGAATGATAAAATCTTGATTTTTTTTTAAAGGCGCCGCGAAATGCTCCACAAACATTGTATAAGCAGAAACCCCTACTGACATACTCTGATGATTTTTCTCATACTCAAAATGTACAACGTTTATGATAGTGCTACTTCCCATCGTGTCGAGCATAATAAAAATGTTTGGAAGAGTTTTTTTACTTTGCGTATGTCTCGGCTACAGAAAATCATAACATCTTGCTTTTTTTAACGATGAACTGCCGAAAGCTCTATAAAAGCTGTATGAACAAATCTATATTGCGAAACAAAAAAATCTTTCGCACATTTTTATTATGCAGAATATGGTGAAAAGTTGCACTATTATGTCGATTGTACATTTTTCGTATAAGAAAAACTATTAGGACATGTCAGTATTGATTTGCTAATACAATTTTTGTAGAGCTTCCCACGGCGCATCTTAAAAAAGGAAGTGACTATGTACACATATGTGTAAATAGCCAAGTGGCTATGTACACACGAGTGTATATAGCTGGCTGACTATATACACATATGTGTATATAGCCCTTTGGGTATGTACACACAGGTAGATATAACCAATATATTAGTAAATATGAAGTCATATTATAATATTATATGTTTTTGTTGATTAAATATTATAATATTATATGTTTTTGTTGATTAAATATTATAATATTATATGTTTTTGTTGATTAATATATATTAAATATTTAAGCTTTTTCATAATTTTAGTAATTCTTTATTACATACAAATAAAGTATAAGACAAATAAAGATCAACAGCTCAACAACATATCCACTGCTTTCTCTCTTTGGTTTTAAACGAAACAATTAAATTTCATTATTTTCAATCCATTTAACATAATGATCACGTAAAAGATATTTGATCATAAAACATTAAAGATGGAACATCTCTATCTCTAATGCTTTATCTATTTAAACTGAGTAATTCTTATAAACTTCCTCATTTTTGGATCGTTATGAGTTAAATTTTGATTTTTCATAAAAACAATTTTATTTAATTCCGTATAGCGTTTTAAAACAAGTAACGCTCGTCTATGGACTCGCTTAGCTCTTTCTCGTAGAAGAACTATTTTCTTATTATCAGCAAATTATTCATTTAATATACATATGTTATTCATCTCTGGCTCCCTCATATCCCTGCTCTCTAAATCATTGAATCATTCCAATCGTGCCAGTAATCAAATCACCCGTTCTTGATTACTTTTGATGAAGCTTTATAGAATAAACTAATAACTATTAATTAATTAATTAATAGCTAATTAAGGGAAACGGATCACAGATTTAGACTCTTCATCGTTGATTACCTGTGGTGAATTTTTATTTAAAATAATAATGATTAATAATTAGTTAATAACTAATTATTAATTAATTAATTAAAACTGATATCAGATTTGAATTCTTTACCTTCAATAACCCGCAATGAAGTTTTACGAAAAATAATAATAATTTATAATCAATTAATATTTAGCTAATAATTAATTAGTAATAAGTTAGCTAAAACTGAGCTCAGACTTGAATTCCCCCATCTTCGATAAACTTTGGCCAAGTTTTATAGAAAACATTAATAATTAATGAATAGTTAATAATTAATTAATAATCGGTTAAAACTAGTCTTAGATTCGAACTCCTCATCCTCGATTACCCTTTGGTCAAGTTTTATTTAAAATATTAATTATTAATTAATTAATAATCAATAATTAGTTAATAATTAGTTAAAACTAACCTCAGATCCGAACTTCTCATCCTCGATTACCCTTCGGTCAAGCTTTATAGAAAATAATCCTTTTTGTCTTCACCTTCTTTTGAACCAATCACTGAAGTGCGAACATACAAGCAAGCAAACAAACAATTTATTCTCACAAGACTCTTCTCTACGAGAAAGAGAATAAATTCACAATATAATCGAGCCGATTCTTGGTTTGATCTTGATTCATCTTTTATATGTCTTCGAACAGGACATCTATGATGACATACACACATTACATTTTGGTATTGAACAAAGTTAAATAATTCTCTCGTTATTTTTTCATTATATTTCATTGAAGAACGTTTTATATTCATTGGTTGATAACAATTAATGCACCAATTTTTAAATTCTTTCTCAAAATGTACCCAACTATCAAACTGCTTTTTAAAGAGAGAATAATTATCTTGCTTTATTTTTCTGGTTGAAGAATTACGCTAAGCACGAAACAATATACTTAGATTTAACTATAATAGCAACATATAGCTTTCTGTAACAGACATTGAAAATGATTATGATAGACTTTTTAATAATATAAGAGGATTTATTTAGTACTATAAATGAGGTTATATGAAATCGGTTCATTTTATTATAACAATTATCAATTCATTTCATTTCATTTGAAAAACTATTAATTAGCTCGATAGAGAAAAAGATTAAAGTAAAGATTAATCAACCTATCTTAATAAAGGTTATGTTCTCAGATGTCAAGTTATTTGACTTTCTATTTTTCAGTTTCCTATTTTTAAACCAATCAACTAAGAAAAGAAGATATAAAATTTTTCTTTATATAAGTGATCGACAAAAAAATATGATATAATGAAGAGGAAAGATAAGCACTAACACTAGATGGTTATCATGTATTCTATTTAAAATAATGGAATTCAACTGTTTCGTTTAAAACTAAAGAGAGAAAGCACCAGAAATGCTGCTGAATTATTGATCTTTATTTGACTTAATTTTTTTTTATATGATTTATACTTTATTCATATGTAATAAAGAATTAATAAAACTATGAAAAAGCTTAGATAATTAATTTATATTAATCAACAAATACATATAATATTATAATATGACTTCATATTTACTAATATGTTGATTATATCTACCTGTGTGTACATAGCCAAACGGCTATATAGACATATGTGTATATAGTCAGTCAGCTATATACACTTGTGTGTACATAGCCAAGTGGCTATGTACACACAAGTATACATAGCCTACGAGCTATGTGCACATATGTGTACATAGTCACTTCCCTTAAAAAAACGATGAAGATTTTATTATTTTTCTGTGCAAAGATATTCGCAAAATAAACTATTTTGCAAACATTTTGGCACCTTCGGTATATCGTTTATTTGTTGCTAATGATGATGAAGCAGCAACTTTTAATTTCGCAGTTCTTTTTGATAAAATAGAAATACCATCGTTTACCGGTTGCGGCTCAGTTGTTGTCATAAGATTTTTATCCAATGAGTTTGATACTTCAATAATGCTACGCTTGCCCGTCAAAACATTACACATACAATATTATTTTTTTAATATCTCTGTTTAAACAAATACTTTATATAAAATTAGTTAACGTAATTGTAATTAATGACTTTATTTTGAGTAAAAGGGCGTAAAAGCAACTTGTTTTTATTGATTCAAAGTGTTGCTAACAGAAAAATATTAAAAAAACAAAAATCAACTCCTGAAATCAGGAGATTTTCGGTCAGGAGACAAGTTCAAAAATCAGGAGTCTCCTGATCAAATCAGAAGATTTGCCAAGCCTGAGCTACTCTAACAATATAGAGGATTTAACCAAATCAACGACTTTTTAAAGAGGAAGCAGATAGACAAATTTTCTCATCCTAACTATGTCGAGACGTTTTGAAAAAGGACGTTATAAAAAACTTCAGTGTTCAAAACATTATTCTCCCTAAGATTTGATATCTTAAGAAGACACTAAAAATTCGTTAGATTTTTTCAATTGTCATTAAGACAAATTTACCTTCTGCACGTCCATCCACAACATTGATGACATCTTCTAGACATTCAATAGCTGGTGGTGCTGTATCAATTAGTCGACCACCATGGTTACTAAAACCAATAATAGCAAAAGATATATTAAGTTAACTGATTATATGCAAAGCAGACCTGACAATAATTCCATTTGCTCCATATTTAATTGCTAATTCTGCATCAATCGGTGAGAGTATACCTTTGCAAATAATTGGTAACTGTGTCAATTTTCTTAACCATTCAATATTTGCCCATGTTACTGAACCGGTGCCAAAACGCTGCTTAACGATTATACCAGGTATATTCAAATTTGGTATTGACATACTCTTCATTAATTCTGGATCGATATTCTTTGATGCTTCTTCAAATAACGGTAATACAAAATCTCGAATACGTTCATGTGGTTGATCACATGTAATAACAATTGCTCGATATCCTTTTTTATCAGCTTGTGGAACTATTTGTTCTAAGATTTCTATAGGTGTTGTCAGATAAATATGTAAAAATTTTGGACCTAAGATGAAGAGCACTGAAGAGCAAATGAGATAGAAAAGAAAAAAGGATATACCCAGTGTTTGTAGAACTTCTTCTTCTGGCATATTTGAAAACGTCCAATTGTACGTAAAAATACATTGAGCTTCAGTTGCGGCGCGAGCTGTGGCAACTTCACCATCAACATGAGCAAGACAATGACAAGCAGACGTAGCAATTAGGATTGGTGATTCATATATCGATCTATAATAAATGTTGACAAATGCATTTCCTCTTCCAGTGAATTCATAGTGACGAAGCAAAAACTAGAAAAAGACCTCAAAGAAAAAATCCTGTCAATGGATAGAATCTGTCTCTATATGAGTATCGCATTATTTTATATTTCGATGGTCTCTCACCCAAATATAGTTGTTTTTAATGAAATTTCACTAACATCCATCAAAACTCTTGGCATAATTCTTAACTGTTTATCAAAATAGTGTCGACATGCTTGATATGTATGTCCTTGACCAGCTTTGTAGTCATAATAATAAAAACGATGTGGCATCATGGATTTCTTAGCTAATTCTTCGAAATCAGATAATGATTTACATTTTAAATATTCAGTTTTCTATATCAATAATGAGAATCAATGAATAATTAAATAAATAAACATACTCGTTCTTCATCTTTTTTTTTTCTCCTTCTTTGTTGAAAATAATTTAGAAGAATTACAACACTTGTCAACGTTGTACCAAACCATAAAATATACAATTGACTGTCTGAAAAATTAAAAGTTAAATTTCTAATTACATTGATAAGCATACTTACTTTTCATTGATTAAAAAAATGCTCTATGTTACTTCAAAAATATCGTTATTTCGATGTGGAAATCTTCAAGTAGGATCAACAACTGAGAAAAAATATGTATAAGATCATATAGAAATTTTTCAAGTTCGATTTCTTGATTATAAAAGAATATATTTGCTAATAAACTGAATTTATTTCACTCTTATGAGAGACTTTAGCGGAACATCCATTCAGAGAACTTAGGCAATATTTTAACTTGTATCTGTGAATTCTGAATTCGAATATTTTCAGCTACAGTAAAAACAAATTGTTTTGTATTGATAAGCATTACGAAGAATGAAAACACAAACGAATAGATAAGATGTCGTTGAAGCATGTTAGAATACGATGTTGCACAGAGAAAGATAAAAAAAATTGCATTTCTAATGAATATTTTAAAGGTCATAAAACAGAAAAAAACGACTCATCATAGTGTCTACCTCAAAACAATACAATGGCTGATCTAGAATTATGGAAGGGTGGGGGCACTTTTTCGAAGGAGATGCAGACATAAAGCAGTGGACAAAAGTTTAAACCCAACGTAATCTAGATTTTTTTCCATAATGTTAACCACCTAGCTCAAATCAAGATAATGATTTTAATAGCCAATGGAGTTTTCTATATGATGCATTCTGTCCCAAATATTCAAAGATGAACTATGATGACAGGGTTTCTCGGACACTGTATTTTTCAGGTCACAGAAGACTTGGTCGAAGCTGTTTTTAAACAATGCCAGTGGATGTGGATGTCGTTGTGGGGTGTGGGTGTGGATTTAGTTCCTCTGCTCACTGACGCCCACGCCCACACCCACCCACACCTACACCCCACATCCACATCCACATCCACACACACACCCACCCACACCCACACCCATTACATAATAGAGGATCAACTGAAAATTCCTCACCAATCAGTCGAATATGCATTATCTTAGGTAACAATGAAAGTAGTGATTTATTAAAATCAAGTTTTGCATTATAATGGATGTTAAACGAGCGAGAAGCTACATGACTCGACTGGATGTGGCTGTGGGTTTGAGATATATGAGAATATCCATATTCGCATCCTCACACGTAGGTGAAGTTAGCAGCGGATTTGAGTAATTCTAGCGGCGATTCGTCCAACAACCTGGTCCAAGTTTTCTATTCTCGGCCCAAGTAGAAGTCGACGAGCTCTATCCAATGATATACTCAGATTTTCGATAGACAAAAAGTATGATTTTTGGGCTGATAAATGACGTTAGTGAGCATCTGAAAATTATACTTTGGGCTACCGAAAATCTGAGCATACCATTGGATAGAGTTCGTCGAGTTGTACTTGAACCGAAAAGAGGAGACTTGAACCAGGTCGTTGGACGAATTGCTGCTGGAATTACTCGAATCGGCTGCCGGAGTTCCAATAGGAAAATACTAATATTTCGCGATTTTTGGCACCATAGTTTGAGCTATGGAAAATCTGATTGCACCATTGAATAGAGCTTATCGAGTTCTACTTGGACCGAGAATAAGAGACTTGGAACAGGTCGTTGGACGAATCGCCGCTGGAATTACTCGAATCCACTGCTAACTTCACCTACGTCATCCTCACCCACACCACCATCCACATCCACCCAAACCCTTTCCGCACAGATCGAAAAAGCTTATATTTTGGCCAAAATTTCCATTCTTTATAGGTTATTGATACTGCCGATAATTTATATAGCATGAAAAGTTAGGTCAAATAGGGGTGTGGATGCGGATATCGTTTTGTTTACTCTATTGAGCCACATCCGTACATTCAAGAGAGTAAATCATAAACATAAAACACCGCTCGCGGAAGTGAGATCGAAACTTTTGTTGTCAGGTCATACACATATAAATGATACACATTCTCACAGGCTCAAGATGATATAAAAAAATTTCTTTATATTTATAGAATAATATATTATTTTATTATATAAAATACTAGTGTTGTAAAACTATTAATAATGTGGAGTTTGCATGAATCTTCTTCTTCATTTTTATGTGATGTGCTTCATAGATTATATATGGTGATTTATTTCATGATCATCAAACTAATTCATAAAATTTTCTAACTGCAAGCAATGCCTTTTCAAAATCGTCAGCGTTTACACTCAACACAAATCGACAATATCCTTTAATTCCAGTCCATATATCATTATTTATTAATAGACCTGTTGCATAAAACAATGCTTCGTGAATATTGCTTCCATTTAGAGTATAACTGAATTTTCCTGATGAACTTGAAACTTCAATAACCTTATTAAAATAACTAACAGGTGAAGCAACCATGAATAAACCACCTTGGGATGGCAAAATTTTCCAACCACATTCTGTAAGCGTTTTACTTAGCCGATCAGCTCTTGATTTCAATGTGCACCGTTGTTCTTCAAGTGTTTTGAGTAAAAATGAATCTTGTTTATTTAATAGTCCATAAATCTTTTTGCAAGCATAAAGCATTGTGGAGTGTGGCTGGGTAATCATATGTTTGTTTATACCGTCAGAAATCAGTTCATTTTTTGTTACCAAATATCCAAAACGTAATCCAGCGCCAGCAAATTCTTTTGAAATTCCACCTAGAACAGCATATTTTATTTTACCGTCATCAAATAATTTATCTAATCGATATGTTTCAGCAGATTTTTCAAATTCTAAACCCGAAAAAATAGTATCTATTATAATAGTGACATTCGAAATTCCTGGAACACTTAAAATGGCTTCAATTTCAGATGCTCCATATCTTGCGCCTGTGGGATTTACCAATGGAAAATTTAAAAAAATCCAATAATTTGCACTGTCGTTAATTACTTGTGATAGTTCGGAAGGTGATATTTTAAATTGATTATTTTCTGAAGTTGAAATAATTTTTATCGGTGCATTATAATACATTGCTGTAGCATAAAAATAACCATAAGCACCTTGTGGAAAAACCAATATTCCATGTTGTTCTATACATGTTCGTACCAATGCCGAAAATAGTGGAGCGACTCCCGTTCCAAAATGTATTTTTATTTCATTACTTAAATTGATACCAAATCTTGATTTTAATAATGTTGAAATTTCAGGTAATACATCAATTTCTTCATTTGTAATGTTTTGTCGAATAAAACTTTCAAAAATAGAAGTTTTTAACGATTTTGGACTAACTAATTCGTTTTCACCATAATCTAATCTTATCGTATTTTTTGTTATTGGAAGTTCATTGATTTGAATGCATGGATGATTGAACGATTCCAAAACATTATTTCTCATCCTGATGAATTTTTGTTTAAAATCAACAGTTTCCTTAAACAAACCAGCATGTTTCTGATTTTTTCTTACGTTTACCATTTGAAATTTAACTAAATCAAATAATAATTCCGAATAATAAAGTTGTGAAACCATCGGTGTTCTGCTGTATGTAAGTTCAGCACTATTAGCAAGTGTTTCAATCATGTTTTCGTTTTGTGTTAATAAGAAACAATCTTCTAAATCTGAATAAACCTTATTTTTTACCAAACCACAGATGATGGCAACATGATTAGGAAGATTATTTTTTGACAAATAATTTAGAATACCATTATTTTGAGGAGAACTGCTTACTTCGAAGTAAGCTGACATATCCACAAATAAACGTGTTCCTTCTTGTTCTGAGACCGAAATAAGTGATTTAAAAGATTCGACCGACTTGCTTTGTAATTCATTAAAACTGAAAAATACCAATTGAGGTTTTAATTTTATAATTAATTCTTCTAATAAAGTAGATGATTGAGGAACTTCAAGCAATATAAAATTTTTGGATTCATATTTTCTCAAACCTTTGGCATGATCTGTATCAGCCAAAATCAATGAAGCTGAATAAACATTAACAATATTGCTAATTAACGACCTTAAATTTGGAGCAATTAACAAATGTTGATGTGTAAAGCTTGTATGATAATATGAATTTAAATATTGAGCAATTCGTTTACGAAATATTGTTTCACCTTTGGTTTCGCCATACGGAAAAAATAGCATTTTGTCCAATTTTTGAGTAAGAGTTGAAAGAAAATTAATTTTTTCTTCAGCAATGCTTTTATCGTTAAAACACAAATCTAATCCATGCAATGCTTCTTGATAATCAACATCTTTTAATAAACTGAAAATATTTCTTAACAAATCCAAATTATGGAAAGTGCATTCATAAACAGTTAATGAATGACAAATTTGTCCGCCAGCATCTGCATAATATTTTGCAGTTTTAGCAGATATTGACTCATCAAAATTCAAACCCATATAAAATTCAAACCTAATTGGTGATTGTTCTTCTATTTTTATCATAGGAGCAATATCTGTGTCACTTGCCTGTATTACTTTTCTCTGCCATATTTTCTTGATATCGACCCCTCGTCGCTCAAACAATCTTTCCAACATTTTTTTACCAGGACGACCGCCCATATTGAAAATTAATTTTCCTCTGGGTTTAATCAAATCAATACCTTGTTCGAGTGCCTTGGCTATTAATCCCAAGCCAAAAGAATCTTCAACGTAACCTTGTTTGGCACAATAATTACTGTATGAATATAATAAATCATCATGTTGATGTTCATGTATTATTTCATGAGTAGGAAAATTTTCTGGATGAAGTACTTGTGGAATACATCCAAATATGACATCGAAATGAAAAGGTTCTTTATTAATGAAATATTCAAGTAGATCTGATTCATAAAATTCAATTTTATCAATTAAATTTTCTTCATTCAAATCATCCTTAACGTCATTGGCTTGATCATCTAATGCATTTAAATAGAGATTTATTTTCGAACAAACTATTGCTCGTGGATTAATATCTAAACCAAACACTTTTTGTGGTCCAAATTTTTTTGCCATAGTAATGGTTATCCAACCGTTACCACAACCTAATTCAACAAGATTTTTATTTTGAAACTCAGCAGCATCGTATCTTGCTAATCCTTCAAAAAATGTATATGACCATTCTTCAGGAGTGAATGTACTTGGAAAATCTAATAAGGTAATTAATTCACTGTGATCTTTATTATTTGAAATATCAACCGATAAAAATGTAAAATGAAATGATTTTATAGTTGCTTCGTTAACCATACTAAATCTTTCTCGAATGAAATTTACCAGTTCCGTTAAAAATAAGCGAGCTTCTTTCCGGCTGCTTTTGTCTTCAAGTGAACGGAGAACGACCTTGAAATTTTCAAAAGTCTGATAGCTTGACTGTTGACACTGCTCGATGAATGTATGTAAATTGAACATTGGAATTGAACTGGATTAAGTTTGACTTGATTGAGCTAAATGATTAATCAATTGTTACAAATAATGCTCATCAACAGATTCGTTGACCTTTTTCTGAAAGATGACACCTTATACGTCTAAAGTAATTGTAGTCTAGGTTTCGTAATACTTATTCAATTCTCGATATGATTGGTCACTGAAGAAAGCATCGTATGATTTCTCGAAGCTTTCTACAAAAGCTACTCTCTGAGACAAAGTTCCAAAATCATCTTTGAGTCGGTCATCAGCACCCGTTCTGAGCACCACTCTCGACTCGCCGTTCACACCAGAAAGAAACCTATATCACG